GGAAACGCATGTTTATGAAACTTACGGTGACAGATTGTTCACCAGAGTGGGACTTAAGGTAATTGATTACGTTGTAATCAAGACTGTTTTTCTCTAATATCGAGTGCTTAAGTTTTAAATGCGCATTTTCCAGGTAAATAATGCCAGAAATCGAATATTAACGAATCTTACGGTGGCAAACTGTGTACCAGGGTGGGATATAGTGTGACATATTTTCGATTTCGTCGTAATAAAGTTTACTGTTAGCGTTTTTAATTGTAATCATAATTACAGTTGTAATTGTAAATTACGATTGCTTTTCATGATAAATTAAGATTTTCTGTATTTATAATAAAGATTACAATTGCATTTGTAAATTATGATTATTTGTAATCAAAATTACTATTTTAATCACATCTATTTGCTTGTAGTTATAATTGCAATTGTAATCGTAAATTATGATTATTTGTAATCACTTACATTATACATCACTCGTAATTTTTATGGTGCAATTTATTCTCATATAAATAAACCACGAAAGATTTTATTCTATATTGTTACGGAAAACATTTTCGAGTGTTTCGTATATCATTCGCGTGATCGCTTTAAAAATTCAACAACCTTGTTTTACATGAAAATGAGCGTTTCAAGAAAACAGGATTTTAAACAATGAGTCGTTTAAGAAATTGTTGTGATAGCTGTGATTACGTGCCCCGCATGCCTATTTCTCAACTTCTTATTTTTTCCTCACTCGGCGTTTTAAAAATCACCTATGTTTACAATAGTTCTATTTATTGCTGTCGGATTGTACTTGAGATTTGTGACATTATCATCAGAATTATTAGAAAATGTGCCATTACTTAGCTGGTAGTATTCAGTTTTGCATGCCATTGTATTGATGATGTCTAAAGATTGGATTTTTTCTTTCTTCCTTACTGTTGCAATTCCAGAAATTGTATTTTTTTCTTTCTTCCTTACTGTTGCAATTCCAGAAATTGCTTGACTTCCGTTTTTCGTACAAATAAACACTCTAAAATAATTTTATCATTTAACTAATATGTAAATGATCCTCATTTTGTTTCGATGTTATGATTTGTTTACTTAGTATACTTCTTATTTAGATTATTTATGATCTGCATGCTTCTTCTTTATTCAGTATAGTATCATTGGATTACTTCTACATATTCAGTATACTTATGTTATGTATTCTGCTATCTTGTTTATAGTTTTTGTGACTGAGTTCGTCCGCTTTATCTTTTTTAAATGGATTATGTAGGGCAGCGGTTCCCAATTTTTTTCGACTATTAAACCAGAAATCTATGTGGAACCCTGAGTTTTTAATTTAAGTTTGCCAAAAATTATGAACAGAAAAAAAAACCCAAAGAAAGTCTACTATTTAGGTTGCAGTTATTTAATGTGAAGAACGAAATGGTTTCATTATTTTACAATAATTGTCCTAAAAATAGGTTTTATGGCTAAGAGTTGAATTTACTGGTCTGGAGCAGCAACTAGTCCAGTTCTGAATCTGTTTTTGATATATGCATAAGCTAAAAATAAGTAAAATAAGCTGAAGTTTTTGTTTAAATAAAAACGAACTGTTATAATTGCTTAACGCAGTTTTTCGAGACTCTGTCGCCAAGAAAAATGAAAAGGCCTTAGTTTAAATGCCTTACTCTTGAAGCAATGCGATGATTTTTAACTAATATATATATATATTTATTCATTCATTCTTGTCGTGAAGAACTCTCTGGGCTTTAGAATAGACAAATAACTTAAATATTTAAAAAGTTATTAAACTTTTTAAAACTCGCCAATTTGGCGTCATTTTCCCACCTAGATGAAAATTATCCAAATCACTGCCTTATTCTCTGTTTTTGCAAACTTTTATGAACCCAGGTAATGCAGCATGGAGTAAGTTTTTAAATATTATAAAATTAGAACTCAAATGCTTTTCATTTTCACAAAACTGTGACTTTTCTCTATATTGACGTTTTGGGCCATATTCAAAATAAGCGTAGACATTCAAAATAAGCTTTAAATAGGCTAAACTTTACCTAACAGTCATGAGTAACAGTTATAAAAAAAGCATAATTTCATATTACGACAAAGCCTTCGAAAATCAGCCTTAAAATTTTTATTAGAAAAATATTTGCTTATTTTTGAATTGGGTATACTATAGCCTACGTCACAGGTTGTGTTATTCCTACTAAATTTAACCCATGAACGGCATTTTCTGCGAGCCTAACTTCAAGCCACAAATAAACAAACTAAGTGTTTGATCGTTTAAATAGCTGCTCGCCAGATTTTATTGCATTATAAAGAAAAGTAATTGATATTCGATTTTTGATTAATAATTGATTTATGTGGATAGTGGCATAGAATTTAGCATTGCGTCATGGTAAATGTTATTCCTACTAAGTGAAAGTAGTTGTGTTTTTTTTATATTATACCCAATTGGTGACTTTATTTTGAATTAAAAATTCGAAAAATGCTGTACTAATGCCAATTGTTATAAATTTTTCATAACTTATTAAATATATTGCTATTTGATTTTTTTTAAAAATTTTCTTTTATTTTTGATGGTACATTTCATAAATAATTTCAAAGAAAAGCCCAAAATATTTAATAAATAATGGATAGATATAATTAAAGGATTTAAAAATCATATCTGGAGTTGCTTTCGGAACAATATTGACCCACCGGTGGCCTGGGGTTTCGCGGAACACTATTTGGGAACCACTGATATAGGATCTAAGAGTTCAAAATAGTTTCGTTTCGTTAATTTTCTCTCAGAATTTTTATACAATAATACAATTTTATTTTTTGTTGTAAATACAAGTATAAATATTTAATACCCGAGTAACATGCTTTATTAAATCTTAGAATTCACGCCGAGTAGATTTTTTTCTTCTTCCCTGTTGTGTTTTCTGGCGTATTAAATAAAAAATGGGTTGAGAGAATTGTTCCGCTTCTCTAAGAAAGACGCTAAAAGAAATCATCCTTGAGATGTCAAGTTAGTGACGAAATGTTGAGGAGGGAAGTGACGCATTCTTTCAGTTAAGAACCTTGTTCTTTAAAACAATCATATCAATCCACTATTTCTTCTCAATTAGTGAGATGTCAATGTCTTTTTCGGTACAATTTCAAGTCTATTAATCTCACCTCGAGACATTGAAAAGTTCAACCGTATTCGCGTTTAAAATAAACAACAAAAGTTGAAGGCAAATTAGTTTATTTCGAAATGTTTCACATAATTTTTTTCCCCCTCACTTCCTTTTTTATTCATAGTTTCTTTATAATTATTTTTCACTTTACAGTTTTATCAATTTTTAATAATATTTCTCACCTTAAATAAATGAGATAGCGTTTATAAATGTATGATTCGTCTTGACTGGGATTAAAGTTCATTGGGTTATAATTTATATCGGTGAAACTTCAGTACTTACAGGTTTAAAACTTATACTATTGTGTGATCGAGAAAAGTTGTATGACAATTATTTTCTTTCGATTGCTAAATAGAATTTAAAACGTTAAAATAGAGTTTCTGAAAACAGATTTAAAAAAAATAAATAAATAAAAAAATTGCGATATTTTTTTTTCCTGCAATATCTTACAAAAACACCAAATAACATTTTTATTATTTATTACTATGAACTTCTCACCTTACTAATTTTATCTGGGAGTTTTTAAACACATGACTGAATAGTATGTTTAATTAGAGTTGGCCATCAGAACTTTTTAAATGGAAAGAGAATCGCTCTACTTCAATTTGATCCTCTGAATAAATGAATCTAATGTCTTTCATACCTACGATTAGCTCTAATTCATTCTGCGTAATGCGATGCCGCCTCGCTTGGCTTTGGCTGACTTTTTAGTTGGGACCTGTTACATATGCCAAGAAAGCACTGTTGCATGTGAACTCGTGCGTTTCTGTTTTTGCTTCTAATTACGTGTATTCCGAAACAATCCGTGAAGCGATATGGTCTTTTAGGTTAGAGTGTCGTTTTTCGTAAAAAAGAGGCATTAGGGAATGACATGAAATAGAAAGAAACTGGCGACCTTTTAGCTTGTTCTTAGAGCCAAAGCTATTTCTGTATCTAAAGGCGTTCTGTTGTTGAAAACCAAAATAGCGACCACCTGACGGTGTTGTAGTGTTTATTGAAGGTGGGTTTGTTGGCCACTTTGTTGTATCCAAGTTTCCTCTTTTAAGACGTTTTTTCTTCTTTTAATCTTTATTGTTTTAGAGAGAATTTTCTTGTGAATTTAAAACGTGAACATGATCTCAATCTTTAAGTTTATAAATCATACTTTCATTTAATGAAAATCGTAACTAATAGCATTTAATTGTTTAGATATTGATTCCCAGCGATATTAGGGTAAATTTTGCAACCCCAGAAAACTATTTAAAATAAAGGGAAAAAACTTAATTCTAGATAAACTTGTCCAACACAATGCCAACTATAATATTTTTTATAATAAACCAGAACTGAGATTTAGAATTATAAAAATAATATTAAATTCATAAACTTCATTATTATAGACACATATTTATTTCCAGTTTGTACTGCTATCTAATCTTTTTTTAAAATTAATTTCAAGATTTTAATTGCTAGGAGGAAAAATTGGGAAATTGCCAAGGTGTTTTTCTTTTTGAAGCAACAAACTTAGAAAACGTCTATTTTTCCTGGTTATAACAAATCAGAAAAACTTCCAATCTTTCTGGTTATAAGACAAGTCTGGAAAAAACTAATTTTCTTGGTTATAAGACAAGTCTGGAAAAAACTAATTTTCTTGGTTATAACAAATCAGAAAAACTACCAATCTACCTGATTACAACAAACGTGGAAAGTGACAAATCTTCCTGATAACACCAAACCAGCAAAAATAGGGCAATTTCATTTCTGAAATTTAAGTTGAAAAGGCTGATTATATTTAAATTTCAATGATTTCTGACTGCTTATTTGTTATCTGTCAAAAAGCCTGAATCAATATGCAGTTTTTTAATCTTTTGTTTTTTGCAGTTGCTCACATGAGATGGCTCCACAAAAACCCTCAGCATTGATTCCACTGCTGAGCAACAACCCTCCAAGGAGGCCTGTGATAAGCCGGATTCTCAGGCTGGGATAGCAATGTCTTCCAACACCAGTGCGGAAGAGCAACCCCTTCTTCTCAATAATAACATGGGCAAGGGATTGAGTTGGGAGAACAAGGACCATCGGGATCCTGTAACAGACCTGCACATCCACGTAGAGAGCCTGCATAATGGACTCAGTCGCAGGGAAAAGAACGGTGATATCCACGGATCCCAGGATGGTTCTGTTAAAATCAATCTCCCTCCTCCAGAGAGAGATGAACCAAGATTTCCTCCAGAGAAGTGGAAAACATTTCTGGGTTTTATATTCTTGGCCTTTAACATGGCCTGGACTTTGACTGTATTGGCCATAGTGCACGAGAGAATGCCTGATCGGACTAAATATAAACCCCTTCCAGATATATTTTTTGATGTGTTCCCAGCTGTTGAAAAAGCTTTAGATGTGTCTGAAGTTATAATTATAATATCCGTGTGGTTAACTATCTTGGTGATAATCATGCACAAACATAGGTTTGTAATTATTCTGATATAATTTTTTGACATAGTCTCTTGTTTTATGGTATTGCTTGCTTGGAAGAAAAAAAAATGAATGCTACACTTTATTACTAAAAAATTTTAATAGTGTGTTTTATTATCCTTTTCACCTAAATAAGATAGCAGATTTTGTTGCCAGTGATTTTTTTCTTCATAAATTTATGATGAAATATTATAATGGCTATGATTATTAGTCAGATTTATTTTTATTTTAGTGTTTAGTTATTATTTTCATCCAGAATCTTAACATAGGTTCCATTAAAATCAATTAGAAATGAACTAAGATTTCCACCAGAGAAGTGGAAAACCTTCTGACTTTTAAACCTTGGCCTGGACTTAGGCTGCATTGGCCATAGTGCTCAAGAGAATGACTAAATGGACTAAATAATCTAGATATATTTTTTATGTGTTCCCAGCTGTTAAAAAGCTTTACATGTGTCCGAAGTTATAATATCCATGTGGTTAACTATCTTGGTAATAATCATGCACAAACATAGGTTTGTGATTATTCAGATATAATTTTTTATGGTATTGTTTGTTTAAAAAAATAATAATTAATGATACGATATACTAAGAGTATAAAAATTATTTGTTTTAATCAAACTAAGTTAGCAGATTTTATTACTAATGTTATTTTTTTTATATAAATTTATGATGAAATATTATGATGCACAGATATAATTCAGGTTTATTTTTGTCTTGGTATTCCAGTTATTTATTTTGTTTATTATTTGTTTGAAAGTTTGTATAAGTTTGTTGTAGTGATGTATAAATGGACCAATTAGTATTATTTAGGGTGCCTGCAGGTTTGTAAATTCCCCGTTAAGGGCTGAACATAAATGCTATGACACTCCTTTCAATATTTTTGACCCTCTACACCCTTTTTCATTAAGTCTCACACTTTAAATTATCTCAACCTACCTTTAAATCTTCACATTATGTAATTTTTATGTGTCATTTTAAATATCACAAATACTAGAAGCTCTGATGCAAAACACTTGTTTTAGATCAAATTTTCAGATTTTATTTTTTTACTTTTGGCGTTTGTTAGCATGACAACAAATTTATTTTGAAGAACTTATGATGAAAAATAGGAAAAAATATAGAAATGTGTGTTGTCTTCTTAACCCTTCAACCCCCTTGTTATAAGCTGTGACAATTTTTCAAATCCCTTCCCTCCTTGCTAAGTGTGTCATTTGTGGATGGCTTCTTAAGTGGAATCAACTGCTTAATATCATCAAATGGGACACTTTATTGCCCTACTATACACTACTGATTACTATTACTACTGATTACACTACTGATTACTATTACTACTGATACACAACTGCCTGACCTATAACCTCAAAGTGCCAGCTGGTAAGATGGTGTATTAATAATCTAGATCAGTGATTCTCAACCACTGTGCCGCGGCACTTTTGTGTGTTTAAATTGTATATGACACACAATTTTAAAAAATGTTGTAAGAGCTAATCATTAAAGTAAGCTATGCAATTAATAAGCAAATTAACAAAGGATAACTAACAAAAATTAAGCTAACAATTAAAAATTAGCAAAAAAGCTAGTTAACAAGAAATCACAAAAAAATAACAGTTAATAATTATAGAAAGCAAGTTAACAATTAATAACTAGCAAAAAAATAAACAACTGTTACTAACTAATAAAAAATTGATCGAAAGAAATAATTAATCCCTTAATAAATGTGCTTTTGTCGTACATATTATTTTATTTCACATTCAAAATTATTATCACAAACTATTTAACACAGTGTAAAATAGGTAATTAAACAACTTTTAATCTAATTTTTTTCATTNTTTTTCTGAGAGGTACCTATTTTGTGAAAATTTAGACATACTTTGTGAAAAATAAAAATTATATTTAAAAATCCAACACAAAAATATGGCAAGAATATGGATTTATCATTTCTTAAGGAATACAAATGTATAATTTTAAGAAAGTATTTTGTGAAACTACCGTTTTTCCTAAAATTAAATTTGTGAAACTACCGTTTTTCCTAAAGTTGAATTTGTGAAAGTACCGCTAAACGGTAGTAAATTCGGTCTGGACAGACCCCTGATGATGAAATATTATAATGGCTATGATCCATAGATTATTCAGATTTATTTTTTTTAGTGTTTAGTTATTTTCATCCCATCCCTTGTAATCAATCAGAAATGTACTAAGATTTTCCCCAGAGAAGTGGCACACTTTCTGGGTTTTATATTCTTGGCCTTAAACATGGCCAAGCCTTCGACTGCATTGGCCATAGTGCGCAAGAGAATGACTAAACGGACTTAATAATCTAGATATATTTTTTATGTGTTCCCAGCTGTTGAAAAGTTTTAGACGTGTCCGAAGTTATAATATCCATTTGGTTAACTATCTTGGTAATAATCATGCACAAACATAGGTTTGTGATTATTCAGATATAATTTTTTATGGTATTGCTTGTTTGAAAAAAGAAAATAATAAATAATTTTGTTTTATTAACCTTTTCATCAAACTAAGTTAGCAGATTTTATTACTAATGTTATTTATTTTTAAATATTAATTTATGATTAAATATGATGCACTGATATAATTCAGATTTATTTTTGTTTTGGTATTTCAGTTATTTACTTTGTTTATTATTTGTTTGAAAGTTTGTATAAGTTTGTTGTGGTGATGTATAAATGAGCCAATTAGTATTATTTAGGGTGCTTGCAGGTTTGTAAATTCCCCATTTGGGTCTGAACATAAATGCTATGACACTCCTTTCAATATTTTTGACCCTCTCCACCCTTTTTCATTAAAAGTCTCACACTTCAAATTATATCTCAACTTACCCTTAAATCTTCACATCATGTTATCTGTAATTCCTACGTGTTATTCTAAATATCACAAATGCTAGAAGCTTTGATGCAAAACACTTGCTATAGATCAATTTTTCAGATTTTTTTTTTTTTTTTTTACTTTCGGCACTTCTTAGCATAACAAATTTATTAGTAGGAACTTATTATGATGAAAAAAAGTATAGAAATGTGTGTTGCCGTCTTTACCCTTCATCCCCCTCGTTATAAGGTGTGACTATTTTTCAAATCCCTTCCCTCGTTGCCAAATGTGACATTTGTGGATGGCCCCTTAAGGGGAATCAACTACTTAATATCATCAAATGGGATACTTTATTGCCCAAAGAGGACCACTGATACACAACTGCCTGACCTATAACCTCAAAGTGCCAGCTGGTAAGATGGTGTATTAATAATCTAGATATTGCTGGCTAAGTATGTTCACAAAAGTTAGAACGTTATAATTCTTTCTTGTCTATATTTTTTTTGACATAGTTTTTATTTGTTAATGTATTTCATTGTAACTATGAATACTTTAGTTTTGTGTACCTGACAACTTTATTGCATATTTAGTTTGTGTTATCAGGCTTCATGCCTGTCTATGTGTTAAGTAAGAGATAAACCAAATCTTTCTTTGTGAAAGAATATAGAATGTGACACTTAAGAGAATTCATATTTGACGCACTGAGTTTACTCCAAATAAAATGGAAAGAGCAGTTGTTAACATAAACGAATGTCACATTTCAACAGCTAATCAATGTTAACTCCCATCATGACTTTGCTAGCAGGTATTTAATTCACAAGAACACCATTATTTATTTAATATAAGCAGCATCATTTCTTCAGCTAGCGGGATCTACATGGTGAGCCCTGTCACAATATTTTGATTCTGTTTTCTAAGAAATCTGTCACTTAAATTACTAATTATTTTCATTTCTCTAGGAAGTCATAGGAGGGTTGGGGGCATGGGTTTTGTATGTGTATGGCAGTTAGTATTTCTTTTGAAAAAATAAATGCTTTCATTGTTTAGTTTTCTGTCTAAATTGTTAGATAGTGTAGGTATTTTTTAATTTTTGCTCAAGAAATTCATTGAGGACAAGTGACTTTATAAATTTGTGTATCTTTAAACTGACATTAAATGTGGAATAGTTTCACTTAAGGATTTAATTGAAAATTTTATAAATTTATGTAAATATTCTTTAATGAAACCTATTATATGTTTATACTTGCCATGAAAATCTCTCATTTTTATGCAAAGTAGTTCTATAGTAGTTCTGTTAGAGGTCTCTGATGTTTGTTGGAATCAAAAGCTTTAGGGACTGATGTAAACACATTAAACTGTGTGCACTGTCTATGCATAAAAAGTTTTAATGTACTGTTTGGTGTAGATAGCGTAATACTTGAGCCACTTGGCAAAAATTAACATATATTTTTGTTAAAAATTCAATACAGTCTTAAATGTTGAAATTCAATAGAATATTATTATTATTTTTTATTAATGGAGTTTGCTGCTGCTTACTAACTCTCCAAGTACTTATATTAAATATAATTTAGAAAAATTAATTTTCTGCCCTAAATGGGTGAAGTTGACAAGTATATTTTAGATCTTGTCTAAAATCTTAGTTACTAATGAAATGTGTTTCAAAAAATATTTGAAAACTGACCTTTTATTAATTTTTTGTTTAAATTCTTCTTTGAAAATTAGTATAGTTTAAGAATAAATATGATATAAGAAAGTGCCATCTTAATGATGAAAATTTTTATTGAAATGTGTGTAATTTAACTGCATTGTAATAAATTTACATAAATCTTTTAAGGTCTTTCATTATTTTTGTGTTACATAAGGGGTATTGCTAAAAATGAAATGACAGAATTCACTTAATTTTTTTAATTTTTCTACTTTCATATTTTAGGTTTATCATTTTGCGAAGGTGTTTTGTAATCATAGGCCTTCTTTACTTCATGCGCAGTATTACAATGTTCGTAACGCAAGTTCCAGTGGCGAGCACTACATATTATTGCTCTCCTAAAGTAAGTATTTTTACTTTTATAATTTTGCTTTGTTTTAAAAATAATTAACATTTATATTATTAAGTGAGGTAACTGTGATAAAAATGAGGGTTGTTTAAAAACTTAAAACTGGTTTTTTGTTATCTTTAGAAAAAATTTTAGTATTTTTTGTTTGTTTGTCTAGAACTTTATTTTTGCTGTTTTTTTTCTTACCTTTTCTCTTGTTATTTATAAAATTATTTTTGGATTTATCTTATTCGTATAAGCATATATTTCACATTTTATGATATTACCACTTTTCTTTCCTCTTTATTTTTTCCTTTATATTTTTTCAGTCTGTTAGAATTCATTACATTGTGTTCCCATCTCATTACCTCTGTTTGAATTTTTCCCCCTTGACCCCAGGGCTGATTGTACTCCGGAAAAAATCCGGATTTCCAGACTTTTCGCTAACAGTGATCTGGAGGTTTCCGGAAATCGAGGATCCAGACGTTTAAAAAAATCGTTGATTACAGAAGTTTACGAAAATCAAATTTTCAAAAGTGGAACTTAAAAACACAGTTTATTTTATTTGTTTGTTAGGGAGAGCCAGAGATATACTTTATAAGCTTATATTCATGATTAATATTCATTTTATCAGTAAATAGTTGTTATAATCATAAACTCAAGAAAGACATATTTGTAAATTGTAATTACTTCTTCAGATCTATGTGTAAAATTTTAAATATATTTTAAGTAAACTAAGAAATATTGAGAAAAAGGGAAAAAACCTCGTTTAAATTTTTTTCTTTCTAATTTTTCAATTTAAACTTTTTTTTTGACTCAAGAAATTTTCCGGAATTTTGACTTGGGCTCACAATCACCCTTGCTTGAACCTGAAAGTTATGTTTTGCTATTATGTAATTTCAAATTAAAAGCATCTTTTTTTTATAATAATAATAATATACTTCAATACAGTCTTTAATTTTCACGTATATCTAAGGAAGAGATTGGTTTATCTGTCTAGAATCTTATAATATGTAATTTAATTGCCTTAACAGAATATTTCAAGAACACGTACTACAAATTTTTAGTTTGCTATATATTAAATTAAATATTTGATACGTTGCCAACTGAAATCTTAATATTATCGTTGACTAATTTATAAAGCATAATTTCCTTATTTTTTCTGAGTTTTAAAATTAAATAATAAAAAGTAATTAAGAACCATTATTTTTATTAGAACAAAACCATTTAGTTTCTATTAATGTGAAATATTTTAATCAAATTTCTGAAATATTTCCATGTATTCATATTTTTTCCAAATAACAGTAATCACTTGCTTCTTTTTTATGACAATGAAAAATAGGATTGAATGAAATCCTCTTAAACTTCTAAATGTAATCTTTCGTAGGAGCCAATTCATCCTACTAAAAATATTTGTGTTGTAAAAAAAAAAAATATTATGTATATACAGTAGGGAACCGATTATCCGGAACGATCGGGACCATCACTATTCCGGATAACTGATTTTTCCGGTTTTCTGAATCGTTACAAAAAGCCGTTTTTTTATTGTTAAACCCAACTAAAAAAATTTTTTTTTTGTGGAAATAATCTTAAAAAGAAAAAAAAAAAATGGAGNCCTTAACACCATATTTTTTGGTTAAACTTTTGCCGCATTGTAAAAAGAACACATACTAAAAATTTTTAGTTTGCTATATATTAAATTAAATATTTGATATGTTGCCAACTAAAATCTTAATATTATCGTCTACTCATTTCTAAAGCATAATTTCATTATTTTTACTGAGTTTTAAAATTAAATGATAAAATGTAAGTAATTAAGAACCATTATTTTATTAGAACAAAACCATTTAGTTTCTATTAATGTTAGATATTTAAATCAAATTTCTGAAATATTTCCATGTATTCATGTTTTTTCCAATTAACGGTAATCACTTACTTCCTTTTAATGACAATGAAAAATAAGATGGAATGAAATCCTCTTAAACTTCTAAATGTAATCTTTCTTAGCCAATTCATCCTACTAAAAATATTTGTGTTGTAAAATACATAAATACAATATATATAAATACAGGGGTCTGTCCAAGCTAAATTTACTATCATTTAGCAGTACCTTCACAAATTCAACTTTAGGAAAAATGGTAGATTCACAAAGTACTTTTTCTTAAAATTTTATTTTTGTGTCTCGTAAGAAACAATAAATCCATATTTTTACCATTTTTTTGTGTTGATTTTTTAATATAATTTTTAATTTTCACAAATTAAGTCTAAAAATTTTCACAAAATAGGTACCTCTCAGAAAAACCTAGACGGACCCCTGATATATATTGAACTATTTCTTTTACTTTTTTGTAGCATAATGTAGTTGTATCTTATGGCATCTTTTGCTTGTACAAAAATATTTTGTTTGTTGATTTAAAACTTTGGTATATAAATATTTGTATTATTTTTCTGTCATTTTTTAAAAACTTAATCAATTTTTTCATTAAAATATTTTTTTTCATACAGTTTTAACTTTAGATCATTTTGTCTAGATGCTTTTAATCATTTTTAAATTTATCAAAATAAACCACCTTAAATTTTTTTTAGGTCTGTACTAACTGTTAAAATATTATCTGCATGTAACTCTGAACATGAAATTCTTTTGAAATAATTTTATTTACAACTGAAAATATTTAAAAGCAATCGAACAATTTAAGTTTAAATTATAAGTAAAAAGTAGCTGTGCTAGTTTTTTTTTTTTCGAAATAAAAAAAATTCTTTGATTTTTAAAGCTTGCCCATCCTGACCTATTCTCATCTCCCATGATAAATTTTAATAAAAATGTCTAATAAAACATTTTAGTATTTCGATATGCTTACAATTTATCAATGTAAATTTTTTTTCATAGTTCTTACTTTTTTAATTCAGTTATTTTTCAACAGCAACAGTTAATTAGTATTTTTGCACCTATAAATTTTAAACAATCTTTTTTTCCAGGCCAATTCTACAAGCCCTCTCCTTATTGTTACTAGAGTCCTATATATGATGTCAGGGTTTGGATTATCCATTAATGGCAAACATACGTTTTGTGGAGATTACATTTATAGTGGTCACACAGTTGTCCTTACAATGGCCTATTTAGTAATTAGAGAGTGTAAGTATTACAATTTGTTACGTCAATGTATTAATAAACTTCAATTTTGTCTTCAATGGATCTTGAGAAAGTATGTTCTTTTAGATTTATGACTTACAGGTATCATATATATTTTATCAAAACATTTTAGTTCTGTAAATCATTTTATCAATTTGTTACACATTTACTGTAATTTTCATTGATTTTAATTTTGACGAGGGTCTGTATTACTGGAAGCTTTTATAGTTTTTAGATAATTTTTAATGTAATATTTTGTTAGATCTTCTCTGTTTACCTCATTTATTTATTGATTTGGTCTCAGCATTCTAACCTCTGTGTTTAATCTATTTACTAATATTATTTTAGCTTTTTTACACTAGATTTTAATAAATACTAATCTTCAATTTTTATGACCTAATGAACCTAATTAGTTTTAAAGTGTTATAAATGGCTGGGTGCGTAGCGTTTTAAAAAAGTGCCTATAGGTGCTTATTTTCGATTTTCGTTTTTCAGCCTTTAAAGGTGCTTTTTTCATTGGGGTTTTTTTAAAATTTTCATTTTCTCTTTTTCAAAATAAGATTTTTCCTTTACCATGTTGATTTTCACTTCGAATTATGAAAAAAGGCACAGTTCATATTGTTCTATTCAACGTTTGCACAATTATTTCAACCCCAATCTATTTCGGCATATTTTCAGTCTGTAGCGTATGAAAACGCCATTCGTTTTACTTAATTCAAAATTTCATGATTTTTACAATTGTCAAAGCCAAAAGTTTTTTTTCCTTTTTTTTTTCGACATGACGGTTTAAGTCAATTGTCAAAACTTCCAACCCTGCCTAATTATGATATTTTTTTAAAGTGCTTAAAAATATTTTTTGAGTGCTTGAAAAGTGCTTAAAAGGTGCTTATTTTTTGTTGAATAATTTGGCTACGCACCCTGAATGGCAATTAATAACTTTTGATGTGTACTATAACATGAATTATGTAATTGTAAGATTTGATTTTTTTCCTCAAGTTTGACTACCATAATAAGTTTTTGAACCACTAAAAGAATACATAAGTGGTCCTAGTAGACCTGTGTATTCATACCAGCAATGAAAACTTAGTGGTCCTAGTGGATCACTAAGGGTTGGAATTTAGCGAATTTCATTCCGGTTTTTTGGTTTTTCCGGTTTTCTGAATTCCGAATAACGGGTTCTGTACTGTACAAGACAATGAATGTGTTAATCAGTTATCTTGGCCACTACCTTTTGTATTATGAGTGCCACTTACTGCTTTTCACCACAACAAAATAAAATGTTGTTTATAACTTGGAAAAAATGTTACTCGTACATTATAATTCAAAAGAAAGTGGTTTAGTGACAATTATGGTTTACTGAGTTATGACATGATGGTTAATGACAATTATGGTTACCATAACTGAGACAATTATGGTTCTTTCTTTTCTTAAAGTATTTTAGAAATTTTGCTATTATAGACTTGTTTATAAATTATTTTGTCATAATTTTCGATTCAAATCTAAATTGATTATATTTAAGGCATAATATCATTTCTTGTTAATAAGATTGTCTTCTTTTGGCATTTCAGATAGCCCTAAACGCTTCTACATTCTCCACTGGCTGGTTTGGATATCAAGTTGTTCAGGTGTCTTCATGGTGCTTCTTTCTCGTGGCCATTATACTGTGGATGTTGTAATTGGCTATTATGTAACCACTAGAGTATTTTGGATTTATCATACAATGGCTAATAATGCTGCTCTTAAAGTAAGTTGACACATTTAGTTACATCATTTAAAGAAATGAGAAAAGTAAATTATTAGTATATTTCTTATATTACGGCATAATAGTGTGCTTGAATTTTGTGCAATTCTTCTCCTAAAGATGTAGTCATTTGCATAGTTATGCCTAACCTTACTGATAGCATATATGGCAAGTTCAGTTTTTTCAGTTTTTATCCTAAACATGATGTGTAGCGTTTTTAAAAAGTGCTTGAAGGTGCTTATTTTTAATTTTTGTTCTTTAAAAGCACTTAAAAGGTGCTTTTTTCATTGGGTGTTTTTATAAAGTTCTTAATTTATCCTTTTTGAAAATGAGATCTTTTCTTTTCTTTACCATGTCGATTTTTGCCACGTAATTTGCAAAAGCATGCTTTTCACATTGTTCTATTCAGCGTTTTCACAACTAATTCGACAATCTATTTACTTCGGCGTACCGTCAGTCCATAGCGTATGAAAGCGCATTCCTGCGAGTCCACATGTGCGTCTACTGTGCTGGGTTCGGTGATATTATTGCACTCTCATATGCAACTCTATTGCATTTTGCAAGTTATTTTCATTTTCAGGCTTCATTTTCTACTCTCTGAGATCGAACCAAAAAATCTCTTGATCATTTTATAATGTCTAATATAATCAAGAAAAGAGTCAGAAACTAGTTGCTTTTATAGTGATCATGCATAGTCTCTAAAAATTATTTTGCATTTTGTTAATGTATATAGTGCTCAAAATATTTTTTGAGTGCTTGAAAAGTACTAAAAGGTGCTTATTTTTGGTTGAAGGATTTTATTGATTAGCCTATCTTAATATGTGAAAAAGTGTAACAGTCATAAATGTAGCAGTTATTTCAACCTACTTTTAAAAATTATCTTATCTTACTTAAACAGATTTTATAATACTTAAATGAAAGGGATGATATTCAAGGCTTCTTGGATATGATTTATGAGGGTTTTATTATTTTTTTATTTATTTTTATCTAGATGTGTTTTAATATTTAGTCATCAAATCAAATTGTCTTATTTTCTTTATTCTACACAATATTGCAAGTTAAATGAGGTAAGAAAAAATCAGATTAAAAAATTTTTTTTAATCTTTTTGTGGATGTTTTACTGATACTCTCTATTTTTGTTTTTATTTCATTCAGTAAACTATTTTTATTAGTGAAAAAATTATTTTTCTCAATTCAAATAAAAAGTGTGTTTATAATAATGAAATCAAAGTTGAATTGAATGTGAAATTTTATTTTCTTCTAAAATAGTGAAATTGTGTACTTTTATTAGTTAAAAAAAATCCTCATGTATAATTTTTTGTCAATAATTAATTTTATTTTTAAATCAGAAAAAATCAGATTAAAAAAAAGGTTTTAATCTTTTTGTGGATATTTTACTGATACTCTCTATTTTCGTTCTTATTTCATTCAGTAAACTATTTTTATTAGTGAAATTTTTTTTCTTCCCCCAATTCNTGTTTGGTTTCTGAATAATTTTTTGTCAATAATTAATTTTATTTTTAAGTCAGAAAAAATCAGATTAAAAAGAAAGGTTTTAATCTTTTTGTGGATATTTTACTGATACTCTCTATTTTCGTTCTTATTTCATTCAGTAAACTATTTTTATTAGTGAAATTTTTTTTCTTCCCCCAATTCAAATAAAAAGTGTGTTTATAATAATGAAATCAAAGTTGAATTGAATGTGAAATTTTATTTTCTTCTAAAATAGTGAAATTGTGTACTTTTATTAGTTAAAAAAAATCCTTATGTATATTTTTTTGTCTATAATTAATTTTATTTTATAACCGTCCTTGAACAGCAGACTCAATTTTTTAGGCTTATGACTACCAATGTTTAACTCTGTAGTCTTGTAATTTTGAACTCAATCCAAAAAAACAAGAGAACTCACGCAAGTATTATAAGAAATTTGCCCTAGTGGAGAACTTTTTGATGGAACCCGCATTCGCGTTACATGGCGAGGAAGACCACGAGAACCTCCCATGGTTAGCCTGACAGTAAAGGGGCTCCTCATCCTTCTACCACTGAGGATATTTCACTTCAGTACTGTGGTCGGGGCAAGCTGGATGCGGATTCATATCGACCAGCCATCGTTGGGATTCGAACCAGGTTCCCCTCATTGGATGGCGAACTTTCTATCCCCTGAGCCATCTCGGTTCTATTTATAATTAATTGTAAATTGGTGAAGAAACAGGGTGAGTTAGGCACTGAGATGTTCTTGTGTGGGAACTTTATTCTAATCTTGGTGGCTGCGTGAAGCCCACCCAGATTAACCCACTGACAGTTCTGCAAGTTATTCTAATCTTGGTGGCTGCGTGAAGCCCACACAGATTAACCCACTGACAGTTTTGCAAGTTATTCTAATCTTGGTGGCTGTGTGGAGCCCACCCAGATTAACCCACTGACAGTTCTGCAAGTTATTCTAATCTTGGTGGCTGTGTGAAGCCCACCCAGATTAACCCACTGACAGTTCTGCAATTATTCTAATCTTGGTGGCTGTGTGAAGCCCATCCAGATTAACCCACTGACGGTTCTGCAAGTAAAATGTCTTTTTAACCTGCAGTCTTTTCGTTAGCAAAACCGGTTTTTTCATTTTAATAGATAGGGGAATAGTATGTAAAGGAGAAACATTCTCCCAATTGTGCCCATTTGCTAAACCGCCAGAGAGTTAAGATCGATAGGTAGCAACTTGTCTGAGAAGTGAAGATGGCTGGTGCTTAATACTGAGCCCATCATACCTTTAATTTCGAAATTTGTAAGCTTTATCTCCGTAACCCGCCCTCCCGATTGATAAATTAATGTCATGAGGTGCGGGAGAGAATGTTTTACTTTTTTTAGTCTTGATGTCAATCCAACATAATCTTAGTGTAATTTTATCTGAAAAAAAAAATAAAGAATTAACAGTAAGGCATTTTTAGGTACCTGGAAATAATAACTACTTGTCAAGAATTTGGTGGTTCTCAATCTTCAGCTATTTTGAAAAGAATGTTGGTGGGGTTGTGCCTAGGCAGTATGAGTGGCCTTTGCCTTGGCCCAGGAGATTTTCAAAACATACACGAATATCCTAGCACAGTTGAATATGTGGTAAGTTAGATTATGGTATATTTTTGGAATTTGTGTAATCTAAACCTTTATTTTGTTATAAAAGCAGTTTATCAAAGAGTTCTTGTGTTTAAATGTATATCAAGCATGAGAGTTATACATTTTTACAAACTGTAATTACTATCATAAATAATTACTAGCTAAATATTGTTTCTAACAATTTTTAAAAATTATGATTGGCCAAATTTTCCTTATTTGTTAAATGTAGCTATCAATCTGGCAAACTTAGTTTTGTCACATAAATTAAGATATTTCTTATAATATTCAAGTGAATATATCCAGTTTTCAAATAAAGCTAGACAATTCTATGTATATCTTGAGATCATGTGTTATGATATGCAGTTTATAGTTAACTGCATTACATAATAGTTGAGGCAAAATGCCGATATAAAAGTAAAATATACCAGAATTATGTGAATTATTTAAGCATTTATGTTCTTTGCATTCCAATTGACTTAAAATTAATCTAATAAAAGTTCAGGAAATTGTGTGTCTAAAATTATTGTTTAGTAAATCAAAGCTTAAAAAAATGAGTTAATTTAAAAGTTGAAATGCCAATGTGGTTAATGTGAATATTAAATTGTCTTTAAACTTTCATTCAATTTCTTAAAATTCCATGGTGTACTGTTCTTTTTTAGTAAAATATTTTTTAAATTGTTTAACTGACAGTGTTTCACATTTGAGCAAGTTAATATAGAAACTTCCATTATGATACTTACTTAGATTGATATTTTACATTTTAGGTCAGCCAGGATGTCGTAGATGTTCTCCAGTTGGCCACATTGCTCTGACATCATATTTATGAGTGATCTATATTTTCTTTTACAAACAAATGAGATCTGAGCGCGTCCTTTGTGCGAGAATATATATATATTAAAACTTTTTCCTTTCCTTTTACATATTATCAGTAAATATAAAACTGTTGCATTAGCAAGCTATTTTCTCTTGAAGGTTGATTGCAAAGAATGTTTGTTCTGTGAGCGACTGAACTGAATAAAAGAAATAAACATTATCAGTGTTTCACTTCTTATTATTGATTCGATTGTCACATTAGGGATTCTCTAATTTTTTACTGAAGTACTTTTCACATTGTAGAACTCAATTTTATATGAACATTTTAGTCAAATTAGCAATTGTTGAGTGATGCTCAATTTATGTTTGTGCTTAAAATATTATTATTATTAATTTTTTTTTTGTCATATCTGTGAAGTTATGTCTTTTATTCTGCAACTGAATTTCCTGGTTTTTACCTCAATACATTATTTTAATCATTGTGTGTCCAAAGTTATATTAAAATTTAATAAACAATATGAAAAATTCTGAGATTAGAAAGTACTTTATGCAAAATATATTTTTTTAATTCCAACTAGTAAGTGAAACTAATAATAATTTCTTTTTTTAAAAAAGAGTATTTTTTTCTTTCAAAATTTTCTTTCTTATATAAAATTATAAAAAAATTTTTTTGGTTGTCTTTATAAAATAAGTTCAATTTGATAATTTTTGTTTTTGCTAATGAAATTTTAGTTCTGTTATGATGAGTGTTTTTTAGAATTATTATAGATTATCATATTTTTTTTTAATTAACGTTTCATTAAATGTCGTATACCGATGTATACTTGGAACTATAATTAAATTCAGGTATACGAGAGATGTTTGGTTTCTGAATTTACTTTGCTATTTCTTTAAACTCACTAACTTTTATTTGTTGATAACTGAGTCTTTTCTTTAAATTATTAAAATAATAGTGCTGAAGTTATTTTATTTTTGTAAATACAAGTTAAGCAAAAAATTGTGATTAAGCATTCAAGGACCTTTTATAATTTAAATACTTTAATATGATATTTTTCATGTGTAAAATTTCAAAAAACTATTGAATACATCTTAAAACCAAACATTTCTTATGCAAACTCAAAAATATATTAACATTGAATATGAATAAGTTTATTGAATTATATTTTTGCATTTTTTGGACAATTGTCATCAAATTAAAAATGTTTTCAGTATGTTAGAATAGTTATATTATTATTATTTTTATTTACTAAATGTCATTCACAATAATTGAAATATTGCCCATGTATCATATTTTTGGTTGTATTGAATGTTTTTTCTTTCTTTAGAATTGCTTACATTTAGTTTTCAAATCATATTTAAAAATTTTAGTGTAATTGCAATGAAAATATATTTATTAAAACAATATTTGTTTTCCTATACAAATTCTACTTTAAATCTATTAGTCATTCTTAGAGCTTATTGTATGTTAATACTTTCAGAGCTACAAAGTTTTACCCTTTTTCAAATGATAGTTTTTATCCTTAGCACAGTTTCTTAAATAAAATCAATTTTCAATTTTTTTAAAAATGTTTTTATCAATTATGTATTATAGGCGGGCAATTATTAAAAAGTTGCCCTTACTATTCCTGTAGGGTATGTGATGAATTCTGTACCTTTCAAAGTACTGGTCTTTATTATTTCTTTTAGTAATACATATTTCCCTCTTTCAATGCATCTGCCCATTTGCTCTTTATGTTATATCAACTGAAATACACTACAGCCTCTAACATCTGGAAACTTCTGAAAATCATATAATTTTTTCAATTCTGAAAAGAAATTAACTTTTTCAATTTTGAATTTGAGGCAAGATCCAGAGGTTTTCAATATAATATTGTAATATATATATACACAAAAAGGATTTTTAAATCCGTTGAAATCCACTGTATTTACCAACAAAAAAAATATATGATTGAGAAGAACACATAAATTCACGATTTGCATTTCTGAAAGTGATGAGGTGCTGAAATGCACGATTCAAAATTCACGTGTTGTAACAATATCCTATTAAAAACATCAGGATTTTTGATCCATTTAGAAATCAATGTTAATAGTGTTCAAGAAACATATGATATGAGAATTTACAATTGATTCATTGTGAGTCTAGGGCATTATAAAGAAATTTCCATGTCCTAGTATGGGATGAAATTTGAAAATTTCAAAACCATGTAGAAATCTATTGTAAAAAAAAGTAAACAGAGTGGATTCACAATGGAATTATTATTAGGCTTGTAACTTTAAGATCTCTATCAGTTTATTATCTAAAATGCATAAATTTCTGCTTTTTTTGTCCTATTTTCTTATATTACGATGGCTAAAGTACTTATCATAGAATCCATAGCTAAATATTAAGAATTAGTTGAAAACAAAGCAGTTTAAAAATTAAATGTAGTTTATTTATTTTGTTCTTTTTTAGAATAGATTTATTTTTGTCTACTTGAGTACATTATTTTTTGCTAAATATTTCAATGTTAATTATATGAATAATAAATTCCTTGCTCTTAAGATTATTTTTCTCAGGGAATGCTATTTTAAATACCTTTTCTAGATTTGATGTTCCTAACATTGACTTCTTAAATCTAAACCTTTGTATTTTTTCCTGAAAATTGAAATATTTGTGTATCATTATTTATTTGTAAATAGTTATATTTATTCATTATTGCTTCAAGTTTCAAAGTTGCATGAAAGTGAGATAGTTTTTTTTTAAAAAAAAACTACACTAATTTAAGCCCAATTTAATCACTGTATTAGGTAATTTTTTTTTATAAACATTGATAATACATTACATTCCCTGATACTGCCATAAGTTTATTTCAATTTTTGTCAATTTTGAAGCTTAGCAGGTGAAATGAAACATTGTATATACTCGTGTATTAGCCTACTATTCTTTAATGCAAAGCAAAAGGGTCAATTTGTTCTTACAATTGACAAATTAAGTGTCGTGTAAATTCATCATTGCTTCGATAAGCATTCAAGATAATTCATGGGATATATTAGAACCAAGTTTAATAAAATGTATGTATATGAAATGTCTGATTATTTTCTTCTCTCCATTGGCTGATTCTATTCTTTTTTCTTACTTTAAATTTTCCTTCTTAACTAACGTCAGTGGCGGAATAGCCCATGAAGGGCCAAGACCTACTATGCTCATCCCAGTTTTCTTGACCTTGGTTTCTGAGTTGCAGACACAGATGTTCTGGTTGAGTGATCAGCCTAATGCGGAATCCCCACTTTTTAGCCTCCAAGCATGCTTGGTACTCATTTTATAGACCCATTGAAAGGATGAGTGATTCTTGCTCGGTCCGAGGACAGAACCTTGAACCTACCTGTGGCACGTAAGCGCAAAGTACTACCATTCAGGCATCAATTTTCCTTCTATCCCATATTATTTTTTTATATAGTAGATTACGATTGAAGTTCTCCCCACTTAAAATTCCCCCTATTTTTATACATTCTAAATACAATCCTCTTCTATTTCGTATTGCTTTTGCATATAGTAATTGATTGAAAATTTCTTATTTTTCTTTTTCTCCCTTAAAATCCCCCCCTTTTTTTTATATGTAATGCAATCAAATGATATTAATTTCTGATATAGTTGAAGATAAATTCCCTTTTTTGATTTTTCTTCAGCAGATGCGACCTTTTTCAATGCTATGATATTTCTTTTTCTTGTAGTTGGAGATTAAAAATTTTCTTTAAAAAAAATTGTAATAAAATGAAGCAAATTCTTTTTTCTTTCTGTAATTAGAAGTTATTGGCTTAACTGCGAGTATATACATAAATTCATTAGATTTAGACTAAAGTGTACTTGTTTTAGAATGTATTCATGTTTAAAATACTAAGAGTTTTAAATGTCAACATACATATTTCTAAATTTAGTTGAGCATTGCACTCATAATTAGTAAGTTTTCACTTTTACGAGATTTGATGATGCATAATTCTTGTCTTTTCTATGTTTTATACTTTAGCAATTATTGTTTCTACATTAAAAAAAAACAGGGGTGCCAAATTAAAAGTATCCATGCTTATCAATTAAAATTAAATGCCAAAAAAGTACAAATTTCAGATCACTCCTTTGGAAAATTATAAACATTATTCATTGCTTTATAAATTATAATATGTTGTATATAGGATCTTTTATTTAAGCTGGACTTGACTATCCAAACCAAAATGTTTGATATTATAATTATTAATGCTATTGGAATTTACTATTGCAAATGTATACATTTTTAATTACTAAAAAGTGCATTTGGTTATATGTAATGCAAGATGAATTTTTCTTTTAAAGAATGTTTTTTGGATCTATACTTGCTTCTTTTTTCTATTAATAGTTTGATATTTCTGCTAAAAAAAGGATTTTCATGTGTATATATGAGAATTTAGTATTTTACTGGTTGATGAAGTGCATTTATTTCTTAAGCACACTTGTACTGTAAATGCTATTAAGAGGCCCTTGTAGATCCATTTAAATGTATATAAATGTTACTAAATATTTCAACTTTATATCTAATATTTGTATTTCTGCAGCATAAAGTGAAAGATATAGAGTTGTAAAAGATTTAAATTCGTTTACAATAAATGTATTTTTGTACTCTATTTTTAGAATTTTTTTTGAAAAGAAGCTCACATGTAATAACTAATAATGTTGATGTTAACTGAATTAGCCTTATGAGTGTATGTGAAACTTATGTATTTAAAACGAGAAATTAACTTTAAATGTACCTTATATCCAGAAAAATTTTTAAAAATAAAATGAAATATTAGATTTTGAGGAAAAAACTAATATACACTTGTTTTCTCTAGAAAGATTTTCAATAATTGGCTATCATTTAGTGAAGTCATTAAAAATTTCCAAGCTTTTAAAATTTTTTTAATTTCATAAATTAAATTTTTTTTAATTATTCTTAATCCTATTATAATTTAATTTTTATCACATTTTATAAAAAGCTAATATAAATGTTTTTATTCTTTTTTTTAACATACAATGTAACAGCTGACTTTTTGATTCTATATGAGTTTATAACTCATTAATTCAGCATCACCATTATCAGATATCAAAATTTGTTTTTAACTTTATTTTCTAGCTACTTTATTTTTATAATGTTTTCAATTAATTCTTTTAATTATATTTTTATAATGTTAGCTTACAGAAAAACGAAATTTAAAATAGAGTTTAGTATTTGAAAAGTCACAACACTGAATCAATGATTTATACACTTGTATTGAATTAAAAAGTTAGTCATTGATTGTTAAGAAAAGAATTAAAGTATTTATGGATTCGCTTTTTATAAAATGTTATCAAAATTTAATGATTGATTTAATTATGATAGGATTAAGAATGATTAAAAAATTTAAATTGAAGAAATTTTAAAA